CCATTGGTGACGGCTCTCGGTACCTTGCCTTGACACCTTAGATGAGTTGTGATTGCTTTGAGAAGACTTAATGACTGCTTGGCTGTCCGAATATATTGGGATAGGTTGATAGGTAACCATTGTAGGGCTAAGTAAACACGAATCGTCTTCTATTATTGCGATTAGTTCCGTTTTAAAGACGCAGCCGCAAGATTTTTGTTGTTGACAGAGAAAACTGAGGTGGTTTAGTCCAACTCTTTCCTTGATGGCGTTCCAGCTTCCATGAAATTTTCCATATAGATCGAAGGGGAGATGATTAAAGAGAAAGTGAATAGCTTTCGTAAGAGTTGAAGGCAGCATCCCTGTAATGAGCGTGGGGACCGTCCACAGATTTTTTCAACATGCTCATAGCTTTGCCTAGAAACGGCCACCAAACAGTGCGCCCAGCAAGCACAGACTGCAGTAATAACTTTCCTACCCTTTTCTACCGTATTTCGGTTACAGGTGAGCTTAATATTTAATATTATTATACCTTTCATTTTAGTAAAAGTAGTGATCTCGAAGAGTGTCGATCCGGTTTTTGAAAGACTTACATCCAGATCTCGATCCCTGCACCAAGCGGTAACGCTGAGATTACCCATGTTACCCAGATGAACGAATCAACTGCTCTGAATTTAGTCGATGCAGTATTCGGTAGTGGAAGTAGATAAAGAAAGAACCGGTTGACGCGTTAATGCCAATTCGGCTGTAATCGTGTAAACACTGCCTACGACATAAATCAGAGGAGCGCTGGGCCGAAAGTCTCTTCAATACTTATAAAGCTCCATATATATATATAAACATATGTATATATTCAAAAGTCCTATTAACTACATCTTACCTGCCAGTGTCGACTGGGCAATGGCCGCCATTACTGTCACCGTATTAGCCCAGCTCCTGGAAGGTACCTAGAGTGGATCTTGGTAGTGAAGGCAGGGATACGTATCCGTCCTTCTATTCCGTACCTTGATCTGTCAATGAAAGTGGAAAACCATTGTGCCTGCTCTTGCCATTGTTTTTGAGGTAAATGGTGGTAGGTATGAGGTTCCCAGACATGAAAACTCGCAATAACGGCAGATAAAGAAGGAGAGCGAGCTGGAATATCAGTGAAAACATCGGTGGGAAAAATGGAAACTATAACCGGCGGGAACGGCGAGTCTACTTTAGTGTTGTAAGCATGAATACTTTGGAGAAGAAAATGCCAGCTTGGACTAAGGGAAAAATAGAAGAAAGCTAGGCGTACAATGCGGCATAGCCACAATGCACTTCCACGGATTCGAGACTCTTGAGCCGGGAAAAGGAAGAAATCGCGATTAAGAATCTGCTGTCTATTGAAAGTGGAACAGCAAGGCTAGCCGAAAGACTGAAGCGTAGAGGCATTACAACATCGAAGGAGTAGCAACGGCCTGTGAGAAAGCCAGGAGTGGAACTCATTGTCCATAGAAGTCCGCTGAGTCAAATATTACGGAAGTACTGCACAATAAAAAAGTTTGAGCTGTAAGATGTGCTGTACCCAAAAGGATGTGAACCCCGGCATGGACATGACAACTTTTTATGGTGCGGTGTGACTGGAAGGCGTAAAGATCATCGTATGAACGAACCTCCACTTTAGTTGCTAAAGGAGGCTGTAGTGACCCTACAAGGCATTTAGGAGAGCGTCTTGAATTTAAAGCAGGTGCATACCGTCCATGCCGAAAGCCGAGGTTTTGGGTATACTAATTTCCCTTTTTTTACTCCTCAAATATGATGAAAGCTTGAAGACACACATATGTATGTGGCCGTGGTGGACAAGTTGTTGGCTTGGCTCGGAAAGCCCGGCTTTAAATCCCGGTATGACCAACAACCAAAAGTTATAGAAAATTAATTTAAATATAAAATTAAGTTAAATTTTCTAAATGCGGTCGCTCCTCGGCAGGGAATGTCAATCTCCTCCTCAGCCGTTCGGAGGCGACCTAGTATAAACTGTAGATTTCTCGTTTTTTTGAGAAAAACGTGAAGAAGCAAAAGCACAAATTGGTGGAGGAGCTTGGTCGAAAACCGCTTCAGCGGTTACAAACCACCAATTACTCGAATATATATATATATAGATATATATATATAAATAAAAAAAAAATTCAGTAATAGAAATTAAATGAATGAAGCCTAAAATAGACCACAAAAGAATTTCTATACGCACATGTGGATGAACAAATATGAGAATATGTGTGTAAATATGTGTTTATTCATTATTCATATGTATGTTCTACAAGCTTAAAGTCGGCATGTGAACTTACGCTTCAATTCGTTTCCGACATTTATCTATAATATATATATTTATGTGCATATATATTAATGTCTGTGTGTATTTACGTATGCATGTATGTATGTATGTTGATGTGATCAAAAGGCCAACTGACAAACTGACTTTCAACATACTAATGCTTGTTCTACACATATTTCTTATGCTATAGCACCATAGACATACAAACATACATATGCATACACACACAGTGTTGACTAAGCTGACGGCTGCTGCTCGACTGCTTCTATTCATATCTGACACCATATTTCATATTTCATTAATAATTTGTAAAAAAATCATTAATCATGCAAATAATCAAATATTCGCTTGCTTGCTTTTCTCACCACCACCACCAACACCACCACCACCACCACCATAACCATCACTCTACCTCACCAACCTCATTCATCGCTCAACCCACATCTTTTGCTATTAGAAGCTTTCATCATGATTGTTTGCCATTCAAGTATCGATTCCATTTGTTTGTCACACATATGCACTAATACATAAGCACTCACACACAGAGGTGACAATAAAACCAATAATATTAACAAAAACCACAACAACAGTGACTAGCACAACTACGACTCTTGCGGCCTATGATATGAGGAGCTTAGTTGTAGTTAGGTGTCTACGTGTATGTAAGTATGTACATAGGTGATTTGTGGCTTGAGGCAACCCAACAGTGAGATTTCAAACTGGGAAGGAAAATTATTAGTTTACCTCTAAAAAAAACACCAAACTCTTACTAAATGCAAATATTATATTTTAATTAATACCTTACTTATATTATTTAATTTTGCAACTTCCTTAAATCTGTCTCAAAAGCCTATGGGAAGGTTGAAGTCTGGTGGGAGTATTTGAAACCACTCGTTTTACTACTTAAACGTTTATTTTATTTCATTTCATTTTGTTTTATTTTATTTTATTTTATTTTGTTTGATATTATTTCATTTAATTTAATATAAATTATTTTTATTTAATTTAGTTTTATATAATTTTTTTAATTTTAACCTATGTTATTCTATTTGATTTTATTTTATTTTAATCGATTTAATATTATTTAATTTAAATTTGTTTAATTTAATTTTATTTAGTATAATTCAGTTTAATTTAATTTAATTCATTTAATTTAATTATGTTTTATTTATTTTATTATTTTTTTTTTAATTTAATTTAATTTAATTTTGTTTTATTTTATTTTGTATTATTTTATTTTATTTTATTTTATTTTATTTTATTTTATTTTATTTTATTTTATTTTATTTTATTTAATTTTTGATTATTTTATTTGTGTTCATTTTATTTTAGATTATTTTTTTTGTATTTATTTCATTTTATGCAATGTAATTTACTTTAGTTTAATTTAGTTTTATGCTGTTTTTAGTTTGATTTATTCTATTTTGTTTTGTTGAACTTTTTTATTTTGGCTTACTTTATTGTATTTCCATTTTTATTTGCTTTTGATTAAGTTTTTTCACATTCTGCTTGATTTATTTAATTGATTTAGTTAAATTATTTTTTTTTAACATCAACTCACTCGCCTGTACGTTGTTTAACAAGTCCCGTTTGCTAACTACTTAATTTCAATGTAGTTTGATACTAGTCCATCCAACTTCGTTTGACTTTTGCTTTAGTGTCGCCACTGTTGTCACATTTGTTGCGTGATGAATTGCCTAAAAGCTGCGGCGCAAACACGCAAATACAACAAACTCACCAATTTCATCGTTGATGATGACAATAAAGATAAGCGAGTTCATGTCGCCGCCACCGACGATGCCAATACTGGTTGTTTTCACTTGACTTTTGTCGTGGTAAATGTTAGAGAATGGTAATGGTGTTGGTTTGTCATTTGGTTTATTGTTGTTGTTGATGGTTTGATTGCGCCGTTGATGGTAACGTTCAATTTATAGCTTAATATTTGATACTTGACGAAATGCAATATTTCTTGTTGTTATTTGCGCTGTTGTTGTTGCTGTATATACGTATGTGGTGGAGGTGCATGGTATGTTAATAGATATTGGTGTGTCGAAATTTGCTTATGTCGTATGTATGTATACATATTTATGTATGTGTGTATATTCTTATTGCGATGAAGACACCTTCGTTCCAATGAGATTTTCGCACAATTTTCCGCGTGTTCACAATGACTTATTCGGAAAAAAATGTTGTTAAAGAAGCTATTGATGAGTTTGTAAAATAAAAAAGTATCTGCTGCGCCCAGTTGGACATGGCGTATTTTAATACATCCGGAATCATGAAGGAGCTAGTTGCTTAGGTAAACTAATAAGTGTTTACTAAGGAGCTCGATTCTTAGCCTAAAAGAACGGGTCGTATCAAGTCACTTCCTCCACAGGACAGTATTAATTTATTATTTTCTTCATTGCAATAGCACATTTTCTTGCTGGGTCTCATAGAACACAGTCCGTTACGGTATGTTGCCGTCGCGTCTTTTTTCTGCTCTCGTTGATGGATGTTTGTTACCGTCATTGGCGCTTCGGGCAGATAATTAAATTGAATTTATGCAGCAACGCGAATGGTGTAAAATTCACGTGCGAAATTCCCCTTTTGAAGTCGAAGAGCGTTGGTAAGCAGAAGCTGTGGTGAGTTCTTCTTATGCAATGAAGGAACATGCATATATATTATATGCTTATGTAACATATATATCTATATGATAGCATTTAAAGACACATTTATGTACCTGTTAACCTTGGTGTGATTAAATTGCAGACACAAGACATCATATTTCATATTATTCTTAAGGTGTTTGCTTTTGAAAGAAAATAGAAAAATTGATATACATTAATTTCAATCACTTTTTCAAATAGATTAATGTAAAAACGATTTCTTCCCTTAAAAATTAAAAATTTCATAATCATAATTTACAGATTATAGTTCATAAATCGTAAATCAGAATTATTCATTACTTAACATATTATTTATTATTTATTAAATATTATTTTTTATTCATTATTAATTGATTTTATTTATGTATTACTTATTATTTATTATTTCCTATTTGTTATTTATTATTTATTATTTGATATTTACTATTTATTATTTATTATTTATTATTTATTATTTCTTATTTATTATTTATTATTTATTATTTATTATTTATTATTTATTATTTATTATTTATTATTTATTATTTATTATTTATTATTTATTATTTATTATTTATTATTTATTATTTATTATTTATTATTTATTATATATATGCTTGCAAGTATATTAATAAAAAAAACAACGTTACAGTTAATAGTTTGTATTCAAATGTTAACAAAGAGTGTTTGCCAACGAAAAATTTTGCTGAATAACGAACTATAAATTATGACTTTCGCTAAATTTACATATACATATTTGTACATGTGTCCATATGTATATGTATGTTTAAAGTTAAAACGTGTGAACATTTGCACAACTTTTGCAACAATTACTTTTATTATTACAGTTATTATTGCTGACATCATCTGAAAATAAAAATAAAATATTTATATACTAACAAATGTGCCTCCCGCACACACACACACACACACACTTTCTCTCTCACACGTCCACAATCGAGGGTGTTTGACTGATTTATCTCTCAAGGACATCGTCCTATATAAATAAAGAGGGGCACATTTTGAACGTTTGGCATCTTTTTTGACCCGCCTTCATGTTATTTAAATGACATTTAACAACAACGACAACAACAACAACAATAATAATAATATTAAATGCTATCTCGTTGCCAACATCAGGCCTATCAACAGCAAACAAAAATACATTTATAATAAAATTTTTCTTAACATTTTTTTTTTGGTTTTTATTTTTTTCAGCATTTTGTTTAAACATTTACATTGTCTGTCTGGTTTGTCGCTGTGACGCGCTTATCTGGGCTTCTGTATGAAAAATACCAAAACACAAAACGTAATCAAACACCACCCAGGGCATTGGCTGCGTCGTGCGGCGGCCATGTGTGTCCATGAAGGTGTGTGTGCGTGTGTGTGTGTGATTGTGTAAATAGAAGCTCCCTCACTAAAAAGCTGAGAGACACAAGCTAATTACGTGAAACCCTGAAAGTGTTCATGGTCCTTGCTTTGAGTGCATATTCGTTCGTATTTTGCATTTGACCGGATGGCTTACGGGTTGCGCTGGAGATTCGCTGGCTTGTGAACGCGACGGTTGGTTAAGGGATGCGACTTGGCGGGACCGCAATTAAATGAATTGTACACAAATGAAATGTGCTCGACGGTTGGAACCTTAAATGGAAAATGGCGTGGCGAAAAGTAAAACGAAATAATAATATTCGAATTGTTTATTTACCGTTCGAGTGTTGTTTGACCTTCATGCTGCTTCTTTGAAGGGGAAAAAATGATTAAATATGAATTTTAATTTATAAAAATATGCATATGTATTAGCGTTTAGGATAATTTGCATTTTATTTAATATTTAACAATAATAAAACGAGAAATTTAAAATCTATAAAATCATTTTGATGACATATAAGACTAAGGCACTTCTCATGTTCCATTATCCGACCTTGATTGAACATAAGCTTTTTCGTTGAATATGAATATGGTCCGCCTAAAACACCCAAAACACAAAAACGGAGAACCCACAGTCTGCGCCAATTACCCTGTGATAAGCTTTCTCAATATCGCATTGAATGAGTAAAGCCGAAAATTTAAAAGTAAAGTCCCCTCTCTATGGATCGAAATCAACCATTCCAATTCGCTCATTATTCCTTGCTATATGGTGCGGACGCAAGGTTGATAACAAAGTGTGATGGTCAGCGGCGTTAGAAGTTTTTGAGAAAAAGGGTTTGCGTAATATTTATTCCTCTTTGCGCATTGGCAACAGCCAGTACCGCAGCCAATGAGACGAACAGCTGTACGATTCTCGGTCATCGGTCTGTAGGATTCCAATTGCTCGAGAGCTAAAGATTTTATTAAGCACAGCTTGGAACCACTCAATAAAGAACATAAAGAAGCTCGATGTATGGGTGTGACATGCTGCATCGACCCATTTTTGCAAAGGACTGTAACTGGTGATGAAAATTTGATCACTTACCGCAACATCAAATGAAAGACGGTCGTGGTCGAAGGGCAGTTAGCCTGAGGAAACTGTCCCCAAGTCAGAGTTGACGGCCAGCAAGGTTTGTTGTGTTATTGGTGAGATTGGCGAAGAATCATCCACTATGATCTACTTCCCTACGGCCAAAACGGCCTAATTAGAATGTGTCCTGTCAGCAATTGGGTCAATTGAAGGAAGCAAGAGGGGAACTTTGTTTCATCGTAATAAAGAAGGACCACATATATCGATAGCAACTCGTCAGAAGCTCCACTTTACAGTCCGGATCTCGCGCCGAGTGATTACCAACAGTTCCTGTCCATGGTTTTCGGACGAGCTCCACCTCCAATTTGTCATGTTGCGTCTGCCGGCTGATGGTTTCTTGTGAGGAGCTTTTATTTCATGTCAAAAATACACTCGGAGGGGTTGAAATTCCCTGTATATGCTGTAGAGGGGCAAACCCAAAAAGAAAAATAAATTTTCAAAATTTTTTATTTTGACGTTGGTCGAATCAGGACTCGAACTCTGCACTTATGAATGACAGTATGCAATGCTAACCACTCGATTGCCAGGAGAAGAGCTTGACCTATACAATTTTTTTCGTTTAATAACGAGTTGAGTTGTTCACCTATATCTTGGTCTGTCAAACGCACACTAGTGCCTCAGTTTTGAATGGAACTTGGTGTGTGTCCGAACCTGTTTGATCAGCCGACCACAAAATTTTTTCTTCAGATATGAGTTTTATGGCTCCAATCGTCAAAAGAATATGCAATGCAATAAAGGGAAAGGGGCAAAGGATGTTTCTTGTTTCTATACGCAGTCGCCCTGCGCATGCTCGTGTCAACCGCCTCGAGTGTATTTGTGAGGAGAATGAAAAACTGATAAATATACATCATTCCTTCTTAGGGGTATGAAACAAGTTTTGGGTCTCTCGAGTGGCTGGAAATGCATAGAGATCCCCTTCACTGCTGAACGTGTATATTTTTTTTTGCAAAAAAAATATAAATAAATAAAAAAATATTATTAATAATAATAAACACCATTTAAATTCATTACATTTTTACTGTTCTTCTCCTTCAACATCAATATTGTTTAATATTCATATGTATGTATATTGGTTACAAATAATAATAAATATATGCATATGAGCTATCGCATATAAATATGTATGTACATACATGCCATATTTGAATATTGCTATTTGAGTTGCTGACACAAGTCAACAGACAAACTGCCAAACGAACGACCGTACATCCAAACGGAGGAACAGATGAACGGACGCATGAACGAATGTACGAACCACGAACTGAACGACGGGTCACGGTGTTTCTGGGGGGCATTTGTGGCGTTGCGCGTTGATTAAAAAAATGTTTTCGTAATTAAATGAAATGGCGTATTTATATTTAATAATTATTATTAATGAGCAAATATACGCCGTTATATTTACATATTAAAAACATACTCGTACACATGCCTCACACACAAACACACACGCACACACGTTGCTACTGCTGACTGGCTACTTGTGGTCAGCTGCAAGAAGTCCAAAGTTTGCGCTCGATATTTCATGCGAGCTTTTTGCTTGCTGCTCCTGCTCAACCAACGAGAATATGCTGACGGCTCGTTGAGTTGAAAATATGATTAACAGGAGGCAAATATTATGCAACCGAAATACAATATTATATAGTCAAAACAAGAAGAATGCCTCATAGGCGTACATGTGTCGCCACTACTGTATGCGCCATAATAAGTGTATATATATATGTGTATATATACATATATGCCTGTGTGTTGCTGGATATCGCTTGTTATACATATATATATATATATGAATTTATTCATATTTTATTTGTTTACACAGCACCTTGGCCGGTAGCGGTTTATCCATTGTTTGTTTCCCATGGCCTCTGGATACAGGTGTGTGTGTGTGTGTATGTTGGTGAGCGTGCGTCTGCTTGTGTCTCTGCATCTGTGAGGGTTTATACATTTATATCAATTCAAAAATATTCTTCATATACATATTTAATTAATTATTTACTAACCTTACATACTTACAAACATGCAAACATAACTATCAGCTTTGGAATTTGTTAAGTGTGTATACTTGTATATGTGTATGTATGCATTCACTTAAATATTACGTATGTTTGTTTCTTTTGTCAATATATTATGCGTAATTAATAATGATATTAATTGGCAATAATTATTTATTTATTTCCATCCGCCTCAACCAATTACGGGCGCCAATCAATGGCAACTGGCTTCAAGTGCACTCAGTCTGAGTCTAAAGAAAAATTTTGGCAGAAGAGATCAAGGATCTTAAGTTCCACCTACTCCTCCAAAGCAGTTTTATGGCACTCCCAGCCTCGCTGCGTGCTTGCCTAGTCAAAGATGTTCCATAAGTAGATCCATTGCATTTGAGCGAGACAATCACTCTTGACCTTTGTTTGAATTCCATGCTGGTCACATTATCATAGTCTTTCTTCATCCTCTTTATTGCCGTTGGTACCGCTTATGCGATTATAGCCGAATTAATTAAGGCGCGCCATTCATTAATTTTTTTTGCTGTTTGTCGCCAGTTGAAAATGTCAAGTGAGGCTAGATCACTCTCCATCTGATCCTTCCAACGGAGTGGAGGTCTTCCTCTTCCTCTGCTTCCACCGGCGGGTACTGCTTCGAATACTTTCAAAGCTGGGGTGCTTTCATTTGGGCGACATGACATAGCCAGCGTAGCTGCTGTTTCTTGATTCGCTGAACTATGTCAATGACACCGTATAACTCGCGCTATCATCTGCGATATTCGCCGTTGTCAGTGCGCAATGGATCATAAATCTTAAGCGAAACCTTTCTCTCCAATACTCCCAAAGCCGACTCATCAGCTGTTGACATCTCCACGCCTCAGCGTAATATAGTAGGATGGGTATGTCGAGCGACTTGCAGGGTTTGGTTTTCATTCGCCCAGAGTGACCCTAATCACATTGCGATGATTCAGACTCCTCCATCTTCTGTTAGCATCTGCAATGTAAGCCTATCTTGCCGTGTGCTTTCAAGTGGAGAGTAGTCCGCCCAGACTTTAGACCAAGACGACGAAAGTGGAAGGTAAATGCGCTTCCGTTCAAGTTTGTTCGCCATCTCTTTACCTGCTATGTTATTGTATTATGTAGGCATATAATTTCAGAGTGAACAACTTAGTCATCTCATTTTGTGATTTAAGGTAATTTACCGTTTATGATTTTATTACGATGGAAGATACCAGTTCTTTTAATCCGAATATACAGGTCGAACACACTATGAGTTCTATTGGTCCTGGAAAATTAAGAACCTTGCCGTTAGCTTTGCTACTACAGTGATCCATTAGGCTTACTGATCCCTAGTGTCTTTCGGTATATTCCATTTCCCGACCTTTTTGTCTAGTCTTTGCAGATGCTTAGGATATAGATAGAGTCTGCAGCTGCCAACGTTGTTTCAGCGGTTGCTATCAGGCATAATATACCATAGACATAGGAAGTCAAGTAGTCCGTCCTTTCCAGTAGTCGGAACCTTCTTAGTAAAATATATTAAATGTATTCCTTGGGTTATGCGAAGAGTTTGGTAAACTTCGAATATTTAGAGACTGGAAATACTTATTACCAGACATCACTAGTGGAGAAATAAGTGGTGATTAGATATTCTTAATGCTTCGAAGCTTAAAAATGTTCAACAGTGATCGGCATATACCATCGCATCGTCGACTGAAAAGACGTCTTCATTACAACTGCAGTCTTGATGTACCACCAATTTTATCGATAGTTATTACTTAGGACTGATTGGCCACACGAGTGGTACTTTCTAAGTCCTGCGACAAAAGCAGTACACCAGTCGCTGTCTAGAGAAAAATTATGGAGGTATTGAGGTGGCTGAAACGAACAGTAATGTCCCAAAGGAATTTTCACGGCTCAGAGTCCAAGGAGATAGCGCTACAAATAAAACAGTGATAACACCACTCAGTCTGAAATCTTAGAATTCGCAAAACGTTGTCAAATGAACATACAAATGACCTGGTCACTCACATATACAAAACTTCAACTCTCCCTTTGTCTGAAGTTAGCTCCAAGTATTTGTTATCCTTTCCACTTCTCTTTCCCAATTCGTTCGAATTCACTTCAAATGTCAAGCCATTCATTTGGCGAAACAAATGACATAATTTATGCCAAATTGGCGCAACAACACTACCAACCAACCAACTTACCAGCCAGCAATGGAAACGAGCATCGAGCATATCTGCTCCGTACAAGTAGCATGAGGCTCTCGTTGTTATGTCCTCTCGATGTTGTGCTGCGTAAGCATAATAACCATAGGCCAATGCTAATGGCATAGACTAACGACCATTTTTAGTTGCAGCCTCGCTCTGATTAAAGCAGTTTGTTTGGTAACGGTAGCCTACTTTTAGGTGCTCAAGCTTACATACGTGGACAAGTGGCGTTGTTGCAGTTGTAGCTGTAGTTGTAGTTGCAAGCTGTATGTTATTGTAATCATTATTCATTGTCTAAATGGTTAACCGTTAATTCAATATGATACATGCAATATGAATAATTTATGATTTTAATAAAATATTGAGAAATTTGTATGTCTGTATGTAACTCAAGTGGGGAAACATTGATTGGAAGAATGAGATCGTTGATATTGAATATGTCAAATATCACTCGAATGCAATAGGCCAAAATGATTGACATGATATTTGAGTGACAAAGAGTTTAAAATTTTATGAAAATTTCTCATGTCTTCCTGCAAACCTTTCTCGATTTATTACATATTTGGACTCAGCCTAGCGCCTTCCAGAGCAGGTTGAGACCTTCGCTGTCTTTATTTACCTGTATGCATTCTTAATGGCTGGGGAAAAATGTCTCACTACGGGTTTTCAAGAGGCAGAGTAGTTTTTTTCGACGTCTCTGGATACCTGAAAAATGTATGAAGCATAAACTTTAGAAATGTCGGAGACATGTCCACCCCAACAGGCTGACCTGAGCAATGTAGCCGAGGGGATAGTACAAGAAGCTACTATACTGTGATGCCACCTCGTTTAATTGCGAAGTTGCCGCAGGCCAGCTGCTTGATATTCTCGTAAGACTAAAGATTGACAAGTACGAAAACGCGTGTATAACCCATGGTGGATAGGTTGAGGCGAATAGATCTCGCCAGTACACGAAACATTATTCTCTTTAGTGCTTTATTTCAGTAAAAGGCGATTCCTGAAGCAATTTTACTGTCTTTGGATCAAAAAGCTCGCAAACAGATCGATGATGTTCTGAGAGACAAAAAACATATCTTGAGTATTATTACCGTGCTTCGAGTAACCAATATCACCTGTTGTAGCTGAAAGGATGTGCATCAGCCTCTGTGGAGCTCTGTGAATGCCCATCAACAAACACAAGTAGTGGGAGGAATGGATTTCTAATCGACTTGCACAACTGCACTCTGAGTGCACTCAACAGCAATTCTTCATAAATGACCCTTGGGCAGTGTTACAGTGTAGAGAAAGCAGGCTGCTTACGAAACCTTGAGATCGACCTATGCACACGCGGGGTAAGATAACTACCGAGAACCAGGGAGAGGGAAGCCAGACGCATTTGCTGACAGAGGCCGAAAAGAAGCAGTTTGAAGAGTTTGAGAAGCTGGCTAACAAGGGGAATGGAAGAAAATTCTATAAAGAGCTGTGGTGACTTACAGAAGGTTTCATGTAAAAATCTCCACTGCACTCCGTGGAGAGGTACCTAGTTTCAGTGCAGTGCTCACCATCAAAGAAGAACTTAAACTTTGGTACCTCGTAGGTACTTAACACTATTAGTCTGAATCTAGATAAAGGACTAGGTCACGGGTTGTGACAGCTCTCTTTTTGCCGAGTTTGTCCCAACTATTCCGACGGATCGAGGGAATCAACTTATAAATTATATATATATAAGCTCTTAACACTTATCTCGCAGAACAATCTCATCTTGACCGAAGTCAATGAACCTTTCCCCACCAAAAATAATCTTTACCTCACAATGGAGATTCATCAATTGAAAACTAAAAGAAAACCCCTTTAAAGCTTTTGAAGCTTACCTTTCTCCATTTGGGTAAATTTGAGAAAGTCATCACCACTGAGACCCCTCCTTGTTACACCTGCTTGCGGTATGATTATTTTAGGCCTCAGATAAAGATCTTCTTGTCTGTCTGAAATCGAATTAACCTTTGTTAGTGAGGCTCCTTTTGGGGAAGAATATACTTCAATAAATACTTCTACATCAGTTTTGGTGACCAACTCCAAATGCTTAGTGATTAATATCAGGTGTACAACTTTGCTTCCGCCATTTTCCGATAGGTGGCTGTACCGGCTGAGGCTGGTTGAAATACATGGATGGTAATGCCTTTAAAGTGAGTGTGGACAGTACCTAACGAATCGTCATCGCCGTTTTAGTGACAGTTGTTCTTGTTTTCGTATTATTCACGCTCGAAACTATCCGTTTATGTGCCTAATTCTCGCCATTTGCGGGAAGTTTTACTTTTCTGTTACAAATCGAGAAAAAAATGCAGCTGAAGCGCCTCGAATGCTCTCAGAAACTTACGGTGATGCTGCTCTGAGTGAAAGAACGTTTCGAGAGTGGTGTCAACGTTTTAAAAATGGTGATTTCGATGTGGAAGACAAACATGGTGGTGGTGGAGAAAAAACCTTAACTCTTAACTCTTAAAACTGGGTGAAACCATCACAGGAGATCGCTACCGAAGGCAACTGAGGCACCTTAGTCGCGCGCTAAAAGAAAAGCGACCACAACGACAAGCTCGGCCTCACGTCGCAAAAGTGGTCAAAAAGTAACTGGAAACGCTGAAATAACCCCACCCGCCGTATTTCCCAGATGTCACCCCTTCTGACTTCCACCTATTCCGTTTGATGGCACACGGCCTGGCAGATCAACATTTTCAATCCTTCGAAGAATTGGAAAAATGGATTGCTTCATGAATAGCGTCAAAAGAGGACTCCTTTTTTCGAGCCACATACAGCTTAGGCGCCGCAGCCTACGTTTTTAAAATTAATCTTGCGATCTTCTGTCGCGGTTTCTTGCTTAAAATTTTATTGAAATTTATTGATTATACGGTCTCTCCAACCCGAAAATAATCTATTTCATCTCTCACATCTTACACAAATGAAGCCTGCTCTAATATACTGAAATAGCCTGTGTGTAGTATATGTAAATATATGTACAAAATACCAGAGAGTTCATGATCTATGCACAATTGGACCGCCGGGTGCCTTAAATTCCAAACCATCCTTTGTGATTTTGCTGGCTGCCGAAAAATTCTTCTGGATTCGGCCTTAATGGAATTTCTTTTCAAAAAATAAGTACAAAGTGTCAACGCATAGACAGAGAGACATACACACCCGTATGATAAAGAGCTTGTGGCATGCAAAGTTGCAGCAGCAGCAGCAGCAGCAGCCGTGGAGTAGCAACGGTGGTAGCATCAGTTAAAGTTGCAGCTGTTGCCAATATCTTGAGGCCGTCAGAAACAGCTTCAAATGCTGCTGCACTTTGGTTCCATCCGCACACTGCGTGGAGAGTGCAACGCATAGCTACAACACGTAGGGCGGTCGGACGATTTTGACAGGTCGCGAGTTTGGCAGCAAGTAAAAGCAGGCGTCAGCTGGTGCTGTGTGCGGCCCCTTTTTTGTCTCGAGTATACTAGCATGGAACGCTGTGCATTCAAATATATGTATGTACATACATACGTGTGTATTCCCAAGAAGTATGTTGTGCATGCCACACTTATTGTTTGTTTGCATGTGTGCGACCGGGGGTTTCTGTATTCAAATGTGGTGTCTTTTGAATTTTTAATTAATTAGCGCTCATTAAATTGAACATTTTGTGTGACAAGAAAATTCGTTTTGTGGTCCCGCCTCGTGGCTGTTCAGCCAAATCAGCCCAAACCAATCTAGTCGAAATTGTCGCCAGCCACCAGCCATCAACAGCCAGCCACCAGCCACCAGGCAAGCGATTGCAAGTTGGTGTTGCACGTCTAATTACAAGCAATGACACTCTGCGGCTTCTTGCAAGTAAATGTAAATCCTCACGGGAAAATTGAATTTGTTTTAAAGATGACTTGTGAACAAACATACATAGATACATATATTCCAACTATATATGTATGTATGTATGTACAAATATGTCGGTGCATAAAAATAGATAATTGTAATTGAAATACGGTACGATGGTGGGGAGTGTGGGGGAGACAGCGAAGAGGGCTAACTTCTAATAAGTGGCAAATGGAATTTACTCACGTCTCTGGTGCTCCACGGTTCCCTTGAAGTCCCCTTTGGTGAAGTCTGCATATCTAAATGTGCTCAAATCGATTTATAATATTCATTTTTGTTTTTAGTTTCTTAAATGATTTTCGTTCGATGTTGTTTCCGATGAAGAATTAGAATTGAAAATAAGAAACAACAATTTTAACGATTTTTTTTGACAAATTTATTAAGCAAAATCTCAAATCAGAAAAAAACAGTTCTGTGGGAGCTATATGACACAGACAGTTTTCCGTTTGCGATGATTTTCGGTGCCAATATATATTTGTATATGTATGTCAAAGTTGTTGGGAGTTTTTTTTGGATAAGGGATTTTGAAGAAGAAACAAAATACACATATTTAAAAATTATGTCCAAAGATTTAAGTTATTCTTTAGGTTTGAAATGATTTCGAACAAGTGAATATCGCGAATGAATTCCAGCTGAGAGGCTCAAATACGGCACTTGGGACAATACGTCAGCAATAACGCGCTGAATATTCTCTTTCAAGGCGTCAATCGTCTCAGACTTGTCTATCTAGACAAGCGACTTCCCATAACCACACAAAAATTAGTCCAGCAAATCCTTCAATAAATTGATTGTTTCGTTGGTTATATGGAAAGTAGCACCGTCTTGTCGAAACCAGAGACTGTGAATATCAGCAACCTCCAATCCAGATATAAAAAACTCACTAATCATGGCTTTATATGACTGACTTCATTTTTGACCGACTTCATTTTTGACCGACTTCATTTTTGACGAATTACGTACCAATTACTCCCTCTGCCCATAGAGCACACCAAAGGCTGACTTTTTGAGGATATAACGGCATTTGCAACAATGCCTTATGGATTAAGTGTGCCAACAAACATGTTGGACATATATATTCGAACACATTATTGTTCCAGCGAGAGTAAATGCGTCACCGAAGCTTCTCACCCAAGCTTTTGCGGCCATGTTTAAATTCAGCAGTCCAAAAGTTCACTGTGATATGTAATGGCTGTTCAAAGACTTCGAAATTAATAATTTTTTTTATATTTCATTAGAAAAAAATATTAATCAGAGAGCGAGCATGATTCATTAATTTCAATGTATAATCTCGTATATCTCGTGGTTCGACTATGAAAATTTTTTTTGTGTGGAATTGATATGCCTTGAAGTTGGAGGTGTAACAATTTGATAAAAATATTTTATACAGAGAGGTAGATAAGAGGGGGAATTTATTTTTGTCAGCTTTTAATCAGAATTCCAATAGTTATTTTTATATCGGTTATGGCAAGCATTGAAGTCGGTCTCACAGTAGTCTGGAGGCGAAAATATTAACCTGAAGGGTAAGAAAGGTGCAACGATTCATTAATTTGAACGTGCTATGTGGTTTGTACCACGTACTCTGATTGCGTTAATTTTTCCTGTAAATGTTTGGTCCGTATGAATAAAATATAAGTTTATTATTAATTGCATGTTATTAAATAATATAAGTATACAGGGACACGAAAAAATGTTAAGCAAAATTTGAAAAAAGTTAAACCGCCGTAAAATTATATGATAATTATTTTTGTTCATCTTCCCATAGTACATAAATTCTAAAGCAATTTTTTTATTATATTTTAATTTTTGTTTTATTTTATTTAAATTATTTTGCTTTAATTTACTTTATCTAACCTTATCTTATTTTCTATTAGTTTATTTTCGTATATTTTATTTTGCTGATTTTATTTTAATATATATTTTTTAATTTTTATTTAATTTTTTTTTTAATATTTTGTTCATACTATTTTATTTAGCTATGTTTTATTATATTTTATTTCATTTTATTATTTATTTTTTATTTTTTATATTATTGTAACCTTTATTTTATTTAAGTTAACTTTATTTTCTTGAACTTTATTTATTTAAACAAATTTTTTGGTTTATTCTATACTATTTTATTTTAATTTTTTTACTTTTTTGTATAATATTTTCTTTTATTTTACTTTATTTTTTATAAAATTATATTTTTTTCTTTAATTTCAATTTTTTGTTATATTTTATTTCTTTATTTTAATTTATTTTATTTTGATTTACATTATTATATATTTTTAATTTTTTATCCAATATATTTATTTTATGTTTATTTTTCAGTTATTTTATTTCATTTTAATTTTATTTTTATTTTAGTTTAGTTCACTTTATTTTGCATTTTTGTTTTAATTTTCAACTTTTTTATTAGTTTTTAATATATTTTATTTCAATTTATTTTATTTAAATTTAATAAATTTTATTTTATATGTGTTTAGTTTATATTCTATTAAATATAATTTAATTTAAGCTTATTTTATTTTATTTTATTATTTAATTTTTTTGTATTTTATTATTATTATTTCTATTTTATTATATTTTTCACTTTTGGTTTAATTTTATTCTGTTTTATTTATTATTGTATAATTTAATTAAATTAAATTCTATTTTTTAGTTTAAATTATTATTTCTTGTCAAGTTGTGTTTTACTTAATTTTATGAAGAATTTATTTATTAAGGCAAAATAAATAAATGTTTATTATATTTTGCCTTGCGTAACCGCCGCTGCTTTTGAAAGGGACTTAATTTGCCGAAGGAATCGTTTGGCTGTCAGTAAATGAATACGTTGGATTGTCTATCCACAAGCCAAACCAGCAAAACAGTCGGTCAACTACTCAAGCGTAAATAAGCTGATGACAAAAAGAACTAACCGGATAATACCGTTAATATGTATGCATATGTATATATATAGGTATATGTCAACGCAAAAAGTATTGTCTTAGTTAATTCCCCATTTTGTTGTGTTTCCACTATTTCAATTATATTTTCTTTATTTTCGTTTGGTTGTTTATTTCTATGTTTTATTCACTCAACATTTACACCGTTTGCAAATCCACGTAAATAACATGTTTAAGCTATTATTTATTTCAACGCACATACACGACACTTGCGAGTACATTTCAAAGCATAACAAAAGAAACAACAACAAAACGAAATAAGAGTAAACAAAAGCCACCGAGACGCCCACATACCACAGGAACGAGAGTAAGCTTGCCTGGCGCTGTGCTCCATTTTATTTATTCGGCAGTCGCCCGTTCATCCCGCACTGCAAATCGTTCCCGCAATGGCTGGCAGCGTTGTCTTCAGCCATTTCAGGACATCTCATATATCCCTGTTATTTTGTATAATTAAATCCCGAGACAAGTGGCATTCTTTTTGCTAACTTCTCGTATTACTTTACATGTGTTCTATTTTGGTGCTCGTGGTTTTTGTTTTTCTTATTTTCATAGCTTACTTTGCATGTTTATTCGTCGAACAGAAGTTTTTGTTGCGTCGAATATCGGCGAGTTGACAATTACAAACACCTACATACAAACACCTTCATACAAACATATAGAGGATTACATGGAGCACATGTGTGTAGATGTAGCTGGCGGCAAGCGTTAATGTTAACGGTACATAGAAGTAGGCTAATATATGTTTGTTTGTTAAGCTATTTGTATTTATGTAATTTCGCTTTTGTTTATATATGTACGTTTTGACATTATTAATGCCTTCTTACACACCACCACATCCACACATGCACGCAGCCACATATGTCCTCACCGCCTTGAAGGTCACATCGAGTGTGAATAATGTGCCAACATATAAAAATTAATTAATAATCCTTTGTGTTGGTTGTTGGCCAGTTGCAATGTCTTCTTTTTGTTTGCAGTTGTTGTTGTTGGTGCTGGTAAAAGTTTAGTCGTTCCATCTTTGGAAGTAATTTGACGAAATTTACTTACGCGCATTTCATTAATACTTCTCAACTTCACGCAGACGTCAGTCAAGCCGTTGGCGCTTTCATCAAAAATACAAAATACAATAATATTCCTCTATATATTATATATGGACGAGTATGTACATATCTACATATATGTGGTGAAGCAAACCGCGAATGCGTGAATGAAAATAAAAGATTTTTGAGAAATTTATAATTGAAAAATTTTTTTTTAATTCTTAGTGACTTTTTATTAGGCAGAGGCAAAAACTTTTGCGGACGGGATTTAAACATCATGGGCTCTGCTTTGCTTAACAGTTTAAGCCATCAGTAGACACAGATGAGGAAACCTCAGGTGAGCCAAGAGGCCAGAGAAGCCAAAGGCGAAATACCTGGAAAATTTTACAAACAAATGAGGCATCTTTCAGAAGGTTTTAAGGGATCCGGTAACTGAACTTAGCTGTATGAAGACTGAAACCCTAATCGATGGCGACGGTGTGGGAATAGTGCATGTCTTCACTTTTTTGGAGAAAGCAGTCGGAGGGCATGCCCGACGATTGGAAGCTGAATGTGCTCAAGTTGGCTGTCATAGAGGCATGCATTTTATATTTCAGAAATTCGGGCGACTCTAGTGTTGAAATCTGGACACAGACAAATTTATATTATAATATGACACTTTCGAAGTTATATATACTCAGCACGTTTCGATATATGAGTGTTGTTTATAGTGGGCTTTTGCATGATTCCTTTCTTCAAACGGTCCAATGCTGAGAGTAAAGTTCGAAATTAAAAACATGGTCGAAGTCGCATGGCCCAGTCGCCAATTTGGGTTTGGAGACCGTTTGTGCCGGGTTTCTGTCCTTCGGCCGCGATCATCACTTTCGTTTGATGTTGCTGCAAGTGATGGTGTTTATATCACCAGTTACCATCTGCTTCAGAGATAGGCCGATTTTGTTGCTATTCAGCAGCTACTCGCAGATGGAAATTTGGTCTCAGAGGTTTTTTTCGTTATTTCCAGTGACTTCCATATCCAGTATTTTTGGAGTCGTGCCAAACTGTTTTTCGTGCATTTTTGAGCTTCTAGAGAATAAATGCAGTGATCTCATGACTCAACGACTTCCATTATTTTATCGACATTTTCGACACTTGACCCTCCATACCATGGAACATATTTTACATTAAAATTACGTGAGCAAAATCGACGAAACTAAAATTGTGTATAATTGACTATCTCAATATCATAACAAAAACACCAGTCACTTTTTTAGGTGCCTGACTTGCGTTTTCGTCTTTATTGAAGTTAAATTGTAGAATATTAACAATTTTCTCTTCGCTTGCTGCCATCTTTAACTTGCGCTCAAACATCACTGAGTTAAGTGATCAACTATTCGCCATTCTTAGTGCAAAATACCATATTTCAGACGGTATCTGCAGTAATCCTATCCCACTTTTAGAACACGAGATATAGCTCACTAAGCTCACTAAGGCCAT